AGCCTTTGCACAGGCTGCGCCCTTTGCCTGGAGCATCTTCCCGCAGACCCTGTCATTGCAGGCCCAGCTCCACCAGCCCAGCCCCTCCCTAGAGAGGCTCTCCTGGTTACCCTGACCTTCATCCCCCGCCCCCGTGGCCCATCTCTCTCTCTCAAATTAACTTGTTGGTTTCTATTTATTGGTTACTGGTACCTCCTCCTTCCAGCAGGGGAACACAGTGTTTTTTTTTTTTTTTGAGACGGAGTCTCACTCTTGTCACCCAGGCTGGAGTGCAGTGGCGCAATCTCGACTCTCTTATACCTCTGCCTCCCGGGTTCATGCCATTCTCCTGCCTCAGCCTCCCGAGTAGCTGGGACTACGGGCGCCCGCCACCTCGCCCGGCTAATTTTTTGTATTTTTAGTAGAGATGGGATTTCACTGTGTTCTCCAGGATGGTCTCGATCTCCTGACCTTGTGATCCGCCCGCCTCAGCCTCCCAAAGTGCTGGGATTACAGGCATGAGCCACCGCGCCCAGCCTAATTTTAGTACTTTTAGTAGAGACAGGGTTTCACCATGTTGGCCAGGCTAGTCTCAAATTCCTGACCTCAGGTGATTCACCCGCCTCAGCCTCCCAAAGTGCTGGGATTACAGGTGTGACCCATCGCATCCGGCCAACGGTATTTCTTAGAGGGCCAATTTAGACATTTGGAAGCTTTTTTTTTTTTGGGACGGAGTCTCACTCTATCACCCAGGCTGGAGTGCAGTGGCGCTGCTGTATCCCCGGTGACTTTGTGGTCTCTTTTGCAAAACAGGCCACCTGGCCAGTACCAGGTGAGAATGACAAATAGGCACACGTCACTGGTTCAGGACATTGGGGTTTGGCCACGAGCTTCTGCCCCAGGACAGTTGGTGCTCCATAAATGCTTGTCAAGCCACTGAATGGGTGTTAACACCCGAATCCCAGAAGCTGTAGCGGGCTGTGTGTGCTTGTGATGACGGGGTGCCCTGGCATTTGGAGGGTGATGCCCCTAGGCCCCAGGCAGTCCCTGGGAAGGCCCCTGCCCTGTAAGGGCTGATGCGGCCGCTACACCGCCTCCTGCAGGAAGGAAGACCCAGGTTTATTTTGGTCCTCGGCTGTTCCCCTGGGAGAGCAGTCATCCTCCTGTCTGGCTGCCTGGATGGGAGCGTTTCTGGCAGAACAATGGGTCAGGGAGGAGGAAGGGGAAGGCCAGGCAGCTGGGCCGCGCCAGGTGTCAGCAGGACCGGGGCTGCCCCGATGGTCTTCGGAGTGTGGGGTCAGGAAGGGAGGCCACAGCTGCTTGCCCCCGTCCCTCTTCCTGTTGGCCTTGTAGGGGGCGGGGGTTGCTCTTGGGAGCCCAGGCCCTTCCTGAAGCTGTAAACAGGCCTGACTCCCCTCCAGAATCAACTTCTCCAGCCTCACGACTCGTAGATGGGAAAGTCAAGGCCCAGGGAGGGGCACAGCCCTGCCTGGGGTCACGCAGCTCCTGAGATGGGCAGAAAGATGTGGGCTCCAGTGCCGATGGGGTCCAGGGACCTCATCCCCAGATGCAGAGAAAGGCCTTTTCCTCTTTGAGTCCCCTCGGTTTGTTCATCTATGAATTGGGGAGACGGGACCCAGGGGTTCGGGAATTCGCTCTTGAAATCTGCAGACTTTTTTTTTTTTTTTTTTTTTGCGATACAGTTTCGCTCTCATTGCCCAGGCTTGGAGTCCAGTGGAATGATTTCAGCTGACTGCAACCTATGCCTCCTGGGTTCAAGCGATTCTTCAGTCTCAGTCCCTCAAGTAGCTGGGACTACAGGAGCCCACCACACCACGCCCGGCTAATTTTTGTAGTTTTAGTAGAGATGAGGTTTCACCATGTTGCCCAGGCTGGTCTCAAACTCCTGACCTCAAGTGATCCACCTGCCTCGGCCTCTCAAAGTGCTGGGAGTACAGGCGTGAGCCACCGTGCCCAGCCATGTGTGGCTTTTTTTTTTTTTTTTGAGATGGAGTCTCGCTCTGTCGCCCAGGCTTGAGTGCAGTGGTGCAATCTCGGCTCTCTGCAACCTCCGCCTCCCGGGTTCAAAGCAATTCTCCTGCCTCAGCCTCCCGAGTAGCTGGGACTATTAGCCACCACACCCGGCTAATTTTTTGTTTTTAGTAGAGATCGGGTTTCACCATGTTAGCTGGGATGTTCTGGATCTCCTCACCTCGTGATCTGCCCGCCTCAGCCTCCGAAAGTGCTGGGATTACAGGTGTGAGCCACCGTGCCCGGCCAGCTTTTTTTTTTTTTCGCACAGGGAATCTCACTGAGATAGAACTAGGTTTGCAAATTCACACAGCTGAGAGGCACGGAAGGGCGGAATTCTAGGCACTGGCTGCAGCCTCTTCAGAGGAAGCTCACAGCTTAGTGGAGATTGGGGGTTTGGTCACAAGCTTCTGCCCCAGGACAGAGTTAGTTCTGATCTTCCCCGTATTTCAGATGGGGAAACTGAGACCCGTTGTTAAGTTGCTTGCTGCAGAGCCAGAGCTGGGAGCAGGCCCTAAATATCAGGGTTGCCCTCTAAGACTCAGGGCCAGTTGAGGGTGTTAGATGGGGAAGGCAGAGGGAGTTGGGGTTCAAGGGCGTTGGGAGCCAGTGGTCACTGTATTGCTGTGCGGCCTTGGGGAAGTGGCTCAGCCTCTCTGAGCCTTTGTGGTCTCTTCTGCAAAACAAGCAACCTGCCTAGTACACGGTGGGGGTGATGAAGTGGGCATATGTCGCTGACTCAGGGCCTGCCACGTGGCACTGAGTCAACAGCACCCCTTTTCTGCGCAGAGCCAGGGTCTGGTGACCGAGGTCAGAGGGCAGGGGCGGCCCATCCAGTAATTCCCGTGCCTGCCCTGACCTCAGAGGGCGGCCGAGGGTTTGGAACTTCTCCCGGAGTCTGAACTCACACAAAGACCTGCTTTGTGGGGGCTCCTGGGGTAGGTGGGTGCCCACATGGCATTCCGAGACTGGCAGCCTGGCGCTGGGGTGGGAGTGGAGGCTGAGCAGGGCCTGGGGCAGTGAGGGAGACCGGGGGCGGGTCTCAGGCCCTCCCTCCTCCCCCAGTTCATTCAGCAGATGTTTCTGGAGTCTTTAGGGACGCTGTGGATAAGGAATCGGGCCCATGACCTCCCCTGCAGCCTGGGGTGAGGCAGACCAATGGGGGTGCAGAGCCGGGGAGCAGAAGAGCAGTGGGGATGCCTGGGACACCTGCATCTCAGAGGAGGCAGAGACTTGGGGGCCAAAGTGATGGGGATGTATAGGAGTTTACCAGGGAAGAGGCAGGTGCTTTGGGACCAGGGCTTTGGGGATGTATAGGAAGGAGTTCACCTGGGAAGAGGCAGGGGCTTAGGGGCCAGGGCTTTGGGGGATGTATAGGAGTTCACCAGGGAGGAGACAGGGTCGTAGGGTATTGGGGTCCACAGGGAAGAGTCAGGGCTCCAAGTGAGGTATGGGGCTTGGTCCTGGGAGCTTCGGGGAGCTGTCAGCTGGTTATCAGCAGGTAAGGGCTATGCCCCACTCTGAGATTTAGGAAGAATTCCGGAGCTGCAGGAAGGAGGTGGGTGGAGGGGGAAGCTCCAGGGCTGGGGAAATTGGGCAGGCTACAGGGCAGAGTGGACAGAGAAAAGGAGCAGACAGGGACAGGGGGGTGGCTCTGCAGTCAGAGGCCTGGCTCTTGTGCCTCGAGAGCTGGCCAGCCTCTCACCTTGGCCACCTCCCCTGCCCCAGCCTGGACAGGGGCTGTCCAAGTCAGTGTTTCCCTGCTGGAGGAATCATCAGAGCCATGCCTTCCCAGAAGCCCCACAAATGTCTGCCTGTGAACCCATCACCCCCTGGCTCACTTGGAGTCGAAGGCCTTAGGCATGCCTGTGATAAACCCTGTGGAGGCTGGGCGCGGTGGCTCCCGCCTGTAATCTCAGCACTTTGGGAGGCCGAGGCAGGCGGATCACGAGGTCAGGAGATTGAGACCATCCTGGCTAACATGGGGAAACCTCATCTTTACTAAAAATACAAAAAATTAGCTGGGTGTGGTGGCGGGCGCCTGTAGTCCCAGCTACTAAGGAGGCTGAGGCAGGAGAATGGCGTGAGCCCGGGAGGTGGAGCTTGCAGTGAGCCGAGATCGCGCCACTGCACTCCAGCCTGGTCAACAAAGTGAGACTCCGTCTCAAAAATAAATAAATAAACAAACCCCGTGGGGGCAGTGGGGCTGAAGGCACTGCCATAGTAACGGGGCTCCTCCACCCTGAGCAGCCTGGAGTCTGGGGCTTACTTGGAACCCCATCTCACAGAGCTGTGGGGTGAGGGTGGGGAGTGTTGAGCTGGACCTAGGGGTATGGAACGGAACCCCTGTAATGATCACCTTGAACCCCTTCTCAGCTCATAGCAAGGAAATGGTGAGTTTGAGGGCTGGTGTCAGGCCCTACAGATAGTGGGTTTCAGAAGGGCCTTCTCTGTTTATAATAATAATCAAATAATAATAAATAAAAAATAAAATTTTTGATTTTGTTTTGTAGAGATAGTGTCTTGCTATGTTGCCCAGCCTGGTCTCAAACTCCTGGCCTCAATTCACCTGCCTCAACCTCCCAAAGCACTGGGACCACAGGCTTGAATTACAGGCTGGAGTGCGGTGGCATGGACTCAGCTCACTGGGTTCAAGAGATTCCACCTCCCGGGTTCAAGAGATTTTCCTGCCTCAGCCTCCCAAGTAGCTGGGATTATGGGTGCCCACCACCAAGCCTGGCTAATTTTTGTATTTTTAGTAGAGACAGGGTTTCACCATGTTGGCCAGGCTGGTCTCGAACTCCTGACCTCAGGCGATCCGCTGGCCTCGGCCTCCCAAATTGTCGCGATTACAGGCGTGAGCCACTGCGTCCAGCATGACACTTTTTAAAGAAACACATTCTGTCAGGCCCTCTGGGGTCTGTGGTGTCACCTCTTCTGTGTGAGTGCCCCAGTGTGCGAAACTGATGGCTGGTCCCTGTCCCCCGCAGGCCATGGACACCTTCAACACCAAGAGTCTGGCTCTGCAGGCGCAGAAGAAGCTCCTGAGTAAGATGGCATCTAAGGCAGTGGTGGCCGTGCTGGTGGATGACACCAGCAGCGAGGTGCTGGACGAGCTGTACCGCGCCACCAGGGAGTTCACGCGCAGCCGCAAGGAGGCCCAGAAGATGCTCAAGAACCTGGTGAAGGTGGCCCTGAAGCTGGGGCTGCTGCTGCGCGGGGACCAGCTGGGCGGGGAGGAGCTGGCGCTGCTGCGGCGCTTCCGCCACCGGGCGCGCTGCCTGGCCATGACGGCCGTCAGCTTCCAGCAGGTGGACTTCACCTTCGACCGGCGCGTGCTGGCCGCCGGGCTGCTCGAGTGCCGCGACCTGCTGCACCAGGCCGTGGGCCCCCACCTGACCGCCAAGTCCCACGGCCGCATCAACCACGTGTTCGGCCACCTGGCCGACTGCGACTTCCTGGCCGCGCTCTACGGCCCCGCCGAGCCCTACCGCTCCCACCTGCGCAGGATCTGCGAGGGCCTGGGCCGGATGCTGGACGAGGGCAGCCTCTGAGCCCCGGGGCCGCCCGACCGCGCCCCTCGCGCCTTCTGGGGCTCTTCTGCTGGGCGCGGTGGGCTTTGTGGGTTTTTTCCACCTCTTTTCTCCCAATCGGACTCCGGTCGAACTCCCCCAGACAGGTGGGTGACCTGGCCCCTTTGAGAGGACGCTGAGCCATCTGTAGCAGCTGTTTCAGACACGGATGTCACCTCTTCTCCTGGCTTCCGCCCAATGGGGAGAGGAATTTGGGGCCCTACTCTGGGGACCACCTTCCACCCCTATTTGTACTTCCTGGGCCACGCCGACCCCTGGGTCGCTTGATGTAAAAGTCAAAAGTTGCTGCTTCCCACTTGGTGACGTCACTTGGGATTTTCATCCCCGCACACAAGGACTAGTTAGGGGGCAAATCGCGGCACGCCCCCCCCCCGGCCCCATCCATAAATTCACATGCTAACCCCCAGGACCAGAAGATGATCTGATTTGGAAATAGGATCATTACAAATGGGATTAGTTCAGAGGATGTCATCTTGGAGTAGGGTGGGCCTCAATTCAAGGACTGGGGTCCTTAAAAAAAGTGGGCTCGGGGCAGGGCCCGGTGGCTCACGCCTGTAATCCCAGTACTTTGGGAGGCCAAGGTGGGCGGATCATGAGGTCAGGAGATCAAGACCATCCTGGCTAACACGGTGAAACCCATCTCTACTAAAAATACAAAAAATTAGCCAGGTGTGGTGGCGGGTGCCTGCAGTCCCAGCTACTCGGGAGGCTGAGTCAGGAGTATTGCTTGAACCAGGAGGTGGAGCTTGTAGTGAGCCAAGATCGTGCCACTGCACTTCAGCCTGGGTGATAGGGCAAGACTCCATCTCAAAAAAAAAAAAAAAAAAAAAAGTGGGGGAATTGGGGCCAGGTGCAGTGGCTCACTCCTGTAATCTCAGCACTTTGGGAGGCTGAGGCAGGAGGATTGCTTGAGCTCAGGAGTTCAAGACCAGCCTGGGCAAGATGCTGAGACCCCCATATCTACAAAAAAAAAAAAAAAAAAAAAAAGGCCGGGTGCAGTGGCTCACGCCTGTAATCCCAGCACTTTGGGAGGCTGAGGCGGGCGGATCACAAGGTCAGGAGATCGAGACCATCTTGGCAAACATGGTGAAACCCTGTCTCTACTAAAAATACAAAAAAAATTAGCTGGTCATGGTGGAGGGCGCCTGTAGTCCCAGCTTCTCGGGAGGCTGAGGCAGGAGAATGGTGTGAACCCGGAAAGTGGAGCTTGCAGTGAGCCGAGATCGTGCCACTGCACTCCAGCCTGGGCGACAGAGCAAGACTCCATCTCAAAAAAAAAAAAAAAAAGAAAAAATTATTGTGGTGGGCCGAGGGTGGTGGCTCCCAGCACTTTGGGAGGCTGAGGCGGGCAGATCACAAGGTCAAGAGATTGAGACCATCCTGACCAACATGGTGAAACCGTCTCTACTAGAAATACAAAAATTAGCCAGGCGTGGTGGTGGGCACCTGTGGTCCCAGCTACTGGGGAGGCTGAGGCAGGAGAATCGCTTGAACCTGGAAGGCAGAGGTTTCAGTGAGCCAAGATTGCACCACTGCACTCCAGCTTGGTGAAAAAGTGAGATTAGTCTCAAAAAAAAAAAAAAAATTATTGTGGTGGTGGGCATCTATAGTCCCAGCTACTTGAGAGACTGAGGAGGGAAGATCACTTGAGCCCAGGAGTTAGAGGCTGCAGTGACCAATGATCGTGCCACTGCACTCCAGCTTGAGTGAGGGTGGGTCCCTGTCTTCAAAAAAAAAAAAAAAGGATTTGGACACAGACATGCATGCAAGGAAGGCCAAGGATGCCAGCCACCACCAGGAGCTGGGAGAGGCCCGGGGCAGATTCCCATCAGCCTTGGAGGGACCTAGCCCTGGCCACACCTTCATCTCAGACTTGTGGTCCAGAGAACTGAATGAGAACAAATGTGCCTGAAGCCCGTCAGTCCACAGGACTTGGTCCTGGAAGCCCCCACTCAAGAAGGCTCCAGGGAACGCTGGCACGTTCAGCCAGGATGCCTGCATGACACTGGAGACCTCTGCCCTGGGTCGGGAGGAGAACGGCTCCAATCCAGGGACTGTCACGTGGGAGGGGACGGAGCGTGCCCCCCACCCAGGGGTAGGGGAAACCACCTGAGATGTATGCACATTTTATTTATTGTTTTGAGACAAGGTCTCGCTGTGTCACCCAGGCTGGAGTGCAGCGGTGCAATCTCGGCTCACTGCAGCCTCGTCCTCCCAGGCTCAAGTGATCCTCGGCTGGGACTACAGGCGTGCACCACCACACCTGGCTAATCTTTGTATTTTTTGTAGACACAAGGTCTCACCATGTTGCCAGGATGGTCTCAAACTCCTGGGCTCGAGCGATCTACCTCCCTCGGCCTCACAAAGTGTGCACGTTTGTAATATCCTGATTTCATGTTTGGAGAATCAGCAACCAACCAGCCAACCATGTTGCTTTTATAAGACAGACCCAAGAAAGCAAAGCTCGGCCGTCATCTTGGCTCTGGTACTACCCAGAGGCGCCGCGATTCTTAGCTCGGGGCATGGAGGCGTGCTGTGGTGGAGTCTATTTGCCATTTTTGTTTGTCAGCAGGGGGCATGGGTTCTCAAAGGTTGCAAAATGGTGCTGCAGGTCAGGAAGGTTATTTTGGGTGCCTGTGGGGGAGGGGAAACGAGGTCCCATGACTGTTTTGCAGAACCTCGTCTATAGAGGGTAGAGGTTGCCGCAGGGGCCTGTGGGCCTTACTCGGTGAGAAGGTAGGTCTAGCCGGCTCCATCCAGTATTTGAGACATTTGAAACGTGCCAGCATTTAAAAACCAAGATCACACACACCCGTCCGGATTTGGAGTTTCTCTTGCAAACTCGCCAGTCGGGGCCATCCGAGCCTGCACTGACCCCTGGTGAAGCTGTGCAGGGGCTGCCCCTCTCCCTTTTGCCACAGTCCTCTCCACTCCCTTTTGCCTCTCCCTGGCCTGCCGCACTCACTGATAGGAAATCCTGACCCCAGACTCGGAGCAGGTTTCCTGTGGTTTGGTTTTTGCTTCCGTGAAAAAGCCAAAGGTCTTGGCCAGAGAGCCAGCTGTTCCTACCTCTACCCCACGCTTCCAAGGCAACCTTTTCCGCTTATCTTAGGCCGAGAGACAGACCTTCAAGAACTTACGTGGATTCTGATTCTCTCACGAAGCCCCGATGGAACCGTGTGCTGTTGAGACATCAATGGGCAAAACTCTACGTGTCCCTGCTGGGCTGTCCAGCCAGTCTGGACTCTTGTAAATTTGAGATTTAATTAAAGGAAACAAACCAAATAGAACTACGGAACAATTTTTTTTTTTTTTTTTTTTGAGATGGAGTCTCGTTCTGTCGCCCAGGCTGGAGTGCAGTGGCGCAATCTCGGCTCACCGCAAGCTCCGCCTCCCGGGTTCACGCCATTCTCCTGCCTCAGCCTCCCAAGTAGCTGGGACTACGGGTGCCCGCCACCACGCCTAATTTTTTTGTATTTTTAGTAGAAACAGGGTTTCACCGTGTTTGCCAGGATGGTCTCGATCTCCTGACCTCGTGATCCACCCACCTTGGCCTCCCAAAGTGCTGGCATTACAGGTGTGAAGTGAGCCACTGTGCCCGGCTGGAACAATTTAAATAAAAGCACACACCAGCCTGGGCACAGTGGCTCATACCAGTAAACCTAGGGCTTTGAGAGGCCGAGGCAGGAGGATCACTTGAGCCAAGGAGTTCGAGACCAGCCTGGGCAACATAACAAGACCCTATCTCTAAAAAAAATATAAGACTGAGTGTGGGCCGGGCGCGGTGGCTCAAGCCTGTAATCCCAGCACTTTGGGAGGCCGAGGCGGGCGGATCACAAGGTCAGAGATCGAGACCACAGTGAAACCCCGTCTCTACTAAAAATACAAAAAAAAAATTAGCCGGCGCGGTGGCGGGCGCCTGTAGTCCAGCTACTCAGGAGGCTGAGGCAGGAGAATGGCGGGACCCGGGAGGCGGAGCTTGCAGTGAGCCGAGATCGCGCCACTGCACTCCAGCCTGGCAACAGCGTGAGACTCCGTCTCAAAAAAAAAAAAAAAAAAAAAAAGACTGAGTGTGGTGGCTCATGCCTGTAATCCCAGCACTTTGGGAGGCTGAGGCAGGTGGATCACCTGAGGTCAGGAGTTCAAGACCAGCCTGGCCAACAAGGTGAAACCCCGTCTCTACTAAAAAGTACAAAAATTAGCCAGGCATGGTGGCAGGTGCCTGTAATCCCACCTACTTGGGAGGCTGAGGCAGGAGAATCACTTGAACGTGGGAGGCGGAGGTTGCAGTGAGCTGAGATCGTGCCATTGCATTCCAGCCTGGGCAACAGAGTGAGACTTGGTCTCAGAAACAGAATTAAAAAAATGAAAATTATAGCCAGTCAGGGTGGCATGCACCTGTGGTCCCAGCTATGTGGGAGGATGGCTTAGACCCAGGAGGTTGAGGCTGCAGTGAGCCGAGATCACACCACCGCACTCCAGCCTGGGTGATGGAGCAAGATTCCGTCTCAAAAACAAACAAAACAAAAAAGCACACACATGCACATGTGGGCTCAGAGGGGAAGCTCCTGTGTATCCTGAGATTGTCTGGCGTGTGCTGGTGCATCAGGCCGCCCAGGCATCATCCTTGATGCCCACAGCCACGGATCCGGAAGCTGTGGGTGATTCCCAGCTGACCATGGCAGAGTCCCCCACCCTTGGCCGGGGTATGGGCGGTGGGCACCATTTCCCATGGCCTTTTCTGCACAGGAGGCTCTGGCAACCCTGTTGTGCTTATCTTCTGGGCCCTGTGGAGCCTCAGAGTCGAGAGCTGGAAAGGCTCCTGGCCCCGGAGGGGTCCCCAGACCTCAGAGCACTGCCATTCTTGGTCTAGGGGCCCTTCCTGCTGACGTGTGCTGCTGTCAGGCCTTTCCTCACGTGGTGGCATCAAGTGTGCAGTGGGAAGGCTGGCTGGTTTTCTTTTTTTTGAGACAGGGTGTCGCTCTGTAACCCAGGCTGGACTGCAGTGGTGCGATCTTGGCTCACCACTGCCTTGGAGTCCTGGGTTCCAGCGATTCTCCTGTCTCAGGCTCCTGAGTAGCTGGGATTACAGGTGTGTGCCACCACGCCTGGCTAATTTTAAAATGATTATTTTTTGTTTTGTTTTTTTTGTTTTTTTTGAGACGGAGTCTCGCTCTGCCGCCCAGGCTGGAGTGCAGTGGCCAGATCTCAGCTCACTGCAAGCTCCGCCTCCCGGGTTCTCGCCATTCTCCTGCCTCAGCCTCCCGAGTAGCTGGGACTACAGGCGCCGCCACCTCG